AATTGCTAGGGATGTAATCGAGAGGCAGTGTGGAAAGAGAGATAATGTTCGGCGTGGGGGAGTGTTGGATTGTGACGAGACAATCCGGACGCCAAACATTAGGGTTAGTAGATTAGGGTTTGAGGGTTAGAGTCGGAATTAGATCGAGTTAGACCCGAATCTAGGTTGCGTGACTCGGAGTAAGGGGAGTACCCCAGATCTGGAAGTCTCTAGAAGTAGATCTGGGTAGGCCGGAAGTTAGGACAGAGACCTGACTCAAACCTGCATCATAACAAGAGTGTGCCTTTGTGCAATTGAGAGTGAAGGGCGCCTCCCATGTGCTTTGTGTGAACCTCTGCATCCATGTGTGCTGTCTCTAGCTGATTTCCAACACAGGGCTCTTGATGCAAGCTTCTTGTTGACGTCACTTTGAAGCTCATAATCATCTTTTTTCCAGAAGGCCCGGAGACCCACGAGCTCATGGTCGCGATTAATCGCCTTACGGAGGTTTCCACCTCGACAGCATCGACCATCAACCAGGTGAGTTTCAGCGGCGTGCCCTTGATAATCTGGACAACGAGGGGACAGGAAGCTCCGACAAATCGGACGATCCAGATATCTGCACACTTTGTAAGCATTCCGGAAGCCTCTTTGAGCACTAGCAAGGACGACGACTTGCTTGCGACGAGACGAGTTCCTCACTTTTTTTCGGGAATTGTATATTATTGTGTTTGAAGCGGGGTAACTTGGATCTTTCTCAGAAACACGAAGATTGCCTCAATAATATAGAGATTTCATGAAGTACGTAGTTCTACTTTGAGCTTGACAATTCCGTTCAGCCGTTGTGAATACATTCCAGGAACGTACAAGCAAGGATTCAAGTTCCTTGCACAGATACAGATGCCTACTGAAGATTACGTTAGTGAAATAGCGTGACTTAGCCTGGCCTCCGGAGTCGAACTTGATTGACTTGTATGTGACCTGATCAATGCGGATGTTACGTCATATGTGCGTCATATGCGCCGTTTGACAAGACAATAACAGCTCATCCCTCTCTCTTGAGCAGGAGTTCGGCGGCCTTTCGCCGCATGAGATTTTGCTAGCGCTAATGTTTCTGGCGGCATACCTGGCCGCCACTACCGGTGATACGCACCTTCTTCCCCGGTCTGAGCCTCTGGTCCAAGAATGCGGCACTCAAAGATGCAATCGCATCTGCGATAAAGGACACTGTCGCCCCGTTTCTAGTAACGAGCTTCGTGGCTCGCAAGCTCGCGGCAAAACCCGCGGAAGAAGATGGTGACTCAAGCAAAGATAGACAAGAGTAGCTTGGCCGAGGGCTAGAATACTGAACCTAGCGAGCTCTTGTCTACAATTGTTGAATACATGGCATGGCGACTCATCATGCAACTCATCTCTAGCTATTTCTTTTGAGTTCGCGACGTGTATACCCGACTCGCAAGCTAGCTTGTGTTGCCAGCGAGCGCAACCAACACATGATGATTCGGACGTACGGACCTGTCGGATCGACTGTCGATGAATTCAATATGCAGTATCACTGCATGTCCGATCTTTAGCGGCCACAACTGTTTGTATCATGAGACATCATATACGTACTCAAGAGGCCGCGCCAATTTTGCGTATGCAACAATGCTATATGCATGGTTGACTTCATCAGCTCAACGCAGTAGATTGGATCCGATCCCCACCATATGCATCATTGCAGGTGTCATGCAGCGGTTTGCTTGTTGTTTGATGTATAACATTATATGAGATGGTATGATGCATGTATGGTCGCGACTGCTCCAAGGAAAACGTACCTAATGGATGGATGGAACAGCAACCGCCAGTTGCCTGGCGACCGAATGGCCAACTTCTTTGACATGGTTGAAGTGGGGATGACTTCATTATCTTAACGAGCCTCAAGTCAAATACTGAGAGCTATGAGGCCCAGCGAACCTTGGCAAGGCATAGTTGCAATTAAGCTGGCAGATATGTCCTCAATATTCAAAGCTAGATGTAGAAGGAACATGATCGGCATGCCAGGCCGGCACTAAAAGGGACGGTGTTGCATAACCGTTGAATTAAGTCCAAACTTTGTTGTAGGTTTTGCAGGCGGCTCAATTCCGGCCGGAGAGTTTGTACACCGAGTACGCGCCTTTCATAGCTTCATAGCAAGCTGGGAGCGTACGCCAAGCCACTCTGACTCCTAGACGCAACCACTTGACAGCCTTTCGATTACGTAATTGGTGCCCCCTTACCTCTTCTCAACCACAACGACAAAGGCAGGCAAACCTTTGACTTTGCTATCACCACCCCCGCCGCTCCCCACTTGGGATGCAAAGCTGAATATCTCCTCGTTTGGAAAGTACCCGCTGAATCCTCTCCGCCTCGCCGCTGATCCCAGGGCTATCCAACCATGTCCCTCGCCCTCCCCTTCTGCTCCTTCTGCCTGCCCTGCTCTCCTTTTCTCACAGCCTCCTCGTCAGTATTGCCCGCTGACACCCCGTTCGGTTGAACACTTAACCTTGGCAGTCTATCTCCTCGCTGCTTCTTTCCAACGGGCTTTTCCATTTCCAATCCGTTCTCCTCTTCTCTAGGCCTCTTACTCATAACCTGCGGCGTGTCCACTTTCGCTCGCTTCTGACCCCGTTTTTGATCTCCGTCTGGTTCTTCTGACGGCCTCTTGGTGGAAGCAGCTCCAACCAACGCTGCGCTGACAGGTGGCGGCACAGCGGCATCCGGCACCTCCCCGAGTTCTCTCGCCTTTTTCCGCTCCTCTTTCCTCCTTTGCTTCTCCTCCTTCGCTCTCCTCCGCTCTTCCTCTTGTACAAAAGTCCCTCACGGGACACTCTTTTGATTCTGACTCCAAGAATTGTCAACACCACCAAGCCCCGACTCCACCCGATCCCCGGCCTTGACTCCGTTCGCGGCCGCTTCCCTCTCTCGCCGCCGCTCCTCCTTAATAAGCCGTTTTTCTTCCCGTCTCCTTTCCTCCTCATTCCGCTCTCCTTCACCCGATGCAGCTGTTTGCGCTGCGGCACCCGCGTCTGGCACACCATCCTTCTCTTTGCCGTCCTCTTTCTGGCGTCGCCTTTCCTCTTTCCTCCTCCGCTTCTCCTCCTTTTGCTGATCCACCTCTAGTTCTTCTGACGGCCTCTTGGTGGAAGCAACTCCGCCCAACGGCGCGCTGACAGGTGGCGGCGCAGCAGCGTCCAATGTCCCCTCCCGCTCCTTTGCCCTTTTCCTCTCCTCTTTCCTCCTCCGCTTCTCCTCCTTTTGTTTCCTCAGCTCGTCCTCTTCTCTCGAAATCCCTCGCAAGGCGCCGTCATTCTGACCAGAAGTGCTCAAGCCAACACCAAGCCCTGACTCCTCCCCACCCCCTGCCTCAACCCCATTTGCGACCACTTCCCTCTTTCGCCGCCTCTCTTCCTTTCTAAGTCGCTTCTGTTCCCGTCTCCTTTCCTCCTCATTTAGCCCTCCTCCACCCGCTGCAACTCTTTGCGCCGCCGCGGCCACCTCTGGCAACGCAGCACCACCGTCTTTCCCCCTGGCTTCCTCTTTCTGGCGTCGCCTTTCCTCTTTCCTCCTCTGCTTCTCCTCCTTTCGCTGCTGCTCCAGACTTGCAGGGGTGCCTAAAGCTTCCACACCAGCGGATGCCACTCCAGCCTGACCAACAGGATCTTTAGCCTTCCCTGCTTCAGTTTGCGGCGTTTGACCAGACGGCGTTTTTGGAGCAGTTGGGGGTTGTGCAGCGGTCCTCATGGAGGTTCTGCTGCAGAGTAAGGCAGCGGTCAAGGGGGTTCAGGAGTGGGAGGCGAACTTGGATACAACTTCCATACTTGGATACTTCAAGAAAGTGGGCCCAAAGACTCCTTTCTGTGGTACAGCAAACAGGCTGGCAACAAAAATGTACCACCACTCCATCGACATGTTATTGAGCTCCGTCAGCTGTCAGCGAAACAGAGGAATAGCATTTGCCTGAAGGACGGAAATCGAGTTGCTCCATACACTCTGCAGAAAAAGTGTACCAACAATGAAAATGACCCGCGGTTGATGCGAAGTTAACCTGCATCGGCGTCCCCTCGATCTGGTCCTGCTTGGCTATTTTTGAGAACCACATCGACGCGAGCACCCAAAAACTGTTTCCAAAAGCTGACTTCAGGAGCCTACAGATAAGTCTCTAAAACCTGCAACTTCATGCAGAGGCCGCCCCGAATCAGGCAGATCAATGCAATGAAAGCTGAAGTGGCCTAACATCAGGGCGACCGCAATGTGCATCGGAGTGCCTTAAAATGCCACTATTTGAAAGTTCTGAGGAAAACAGTCAGGACGAGCACCTGAGAGTGGTTTGAAAACAGTAAGTTCCTTCACAGATTGGCCCCCATTAACCAGGCAGAATCAAACAAAGAAAGTGAGAAACCTTACCTGTCAGCCTGCCTCAGAGCGTTGGTTGGCCCCCCTAAATGCTCAAGAGACTGCCTGACAGCCAAGAGCTGAGCAAACGTGTCTGGCGCATCCGTTATCAGCTCCTTGCGCGCCGCTAGGAAGATGCGCAACAGGCGCCCCGCCTCCACAAACGAGCACTCCGACAATCCCAGTGCTTCGCCTCTTACAGGGCGGTGTGCCATCCTGAATGCAGTCCTCAGGTATCACCCCAAACTTTCAATGCAGGATCGGATCATGGGCTTGCCAGCCGCCGTTCACGTCACATGGCCAAGTTCTGTGCGCAACTTTGCCCTGCCTGCCCAAGCTGAGCCAGTCTACTAATCTCTGACTGCAGTCCTGACTGCACCATGGTAATGGTCTGGACGGATCAAACTTCAAAGCATTCCCTTATAAAGTTGGAGAGGACGCTTCGATCTAGTTTCCACTTGTGATGGAAGAAATGTTGAAATAAACGCGCCTTGAGCGCCTTTCAAGAGGAAGCACAACTACTAGAAGTAAGGGTACCGTCACTTTGAAGTGGCACCCCCTTAGGTATTCTGTTGGGGGGGGGGGCTTGGGTTGCTTCAACCAACCGAAGGCGGGGAGGGGGGGGGGCTGTTGGCCTTTGGCTTGGGGCGAAGCCCCAGCCGGATTTCGGCTGGCATACATGCTTTTTCAAGCTAACATATCATCTTTTAGCCCACAGGTCAGAGATGGTAGACTATGGATGTATCGGAAAAGCATTTTTCAACGTTAACAATGGGCGCAATTACATGCATACGATAGTGCTTATGTCCAAAAATTGTGCTCGGGTGGTGGCTATGTGGACCGGGGCCTTGACCTTTTCTCTGAAGACAAGGCCGGG